TTGTCCCCTTACAAAAGAGCATCCCTGCAAAAATAGTTGATGAAGATCTGCCATTAATTTTTTTCCCTTAACTCATTACCCATCATTTATTTCATTCAAGAAATTGTGCTAAAAAGAACAAAAACCTTATGCCGTCAACATTATAAATTTTTTAAGTATATAGTTGCATATATGGAAATCTTAGTTGCCAATATCAGAAATAAAGTTGAGTTCATTTTTCTGTTTAATACTCCAATGGTTTAATAGTATAAGGTGAAATAGTTGGAGAGAGAAGTCAGACCACAAATAAAACTAAATATAGATGTTCATTGCCATTTACACAGGTGTACAATTGCAGAAGAAGCTTTCATCCACTATGAAACCCATGACATGGATAAAAATACCAATTAGCAAAAACTAAAATAAGCCTACAACACACACAAAAAAAAAAAAAGTCCCCATGGACCTAATTCTAACTATTAGTACCAACTCAAAATACAACAACAGTGATATATGTATGTTGTTCATCCAAAATATAGTAGCGATCTCATTAACATTAGAATTAAACCGAACACTATTTCTCTTTTAACTTTTCCTTGGTTTCAAGTGATTTCATGTAGCAATCTTCATTTTTTACACAAAAACATGTCAAAAACATTAACTTTAAATTTATTCTTTATCAAATTAAAAGTCTAAATAAATAAACATATAAAAGGAAAAAAAAAAAAAAACTCACCTTGTTATCAAAGGAATAATCCCTGTTGAAGATCAAGTTCATAACACAATTGAGAAAGAAGATTATTATCTCTCTCCAATTGATTTTTCTCTATATGTGGCAATTTGTAATTAATTATTTCCCCAATAGACCTTTATTGTTTCAATCATGCATCCTTGCAATGTTAAGAAAACATGATCGAGACTTTTTGTTGGCAATTCATTAAAAGCTTTTTCTACGGCAACAACTAACTCATCAACTGTAGTGGGAGCTTGTTGGTATTGAAGTGATTGAATTGCTCTAAAAAAACTTAAGATCAAGCCCATTCAAATTCGAACTATTTGGAGGTTGAAATGATAACCATTTATCAAACCCATCTTTGGTTGCAGCTTCAAGGAATTCCGCATCCGAGGGATTCCATATGAGGTTTTGCATTGTCTTGTTGAATAAAAATTGTTTCCCTCATACTGAAACTAGGCCATTTAGCTCGAATATCTGGTAAAACTTTCTCAATTAAATATGATCGAATTACACCTTTAGTTACTGACAACATTGGTTTCGTCTCTAACGTTCCAGCTACACGATTCTTGCTACTTCGTTTTGCAGGAACCTTGCATGTAAATGGATAAATTCCAATCTTTCCCGAAAACACTTCATTATGATACGTATCAAATCATGGCCTAGCAACAACAGCTAAAAACATAACATTTGTGATAAACCTTTTGCTTTTACAAGTACGTACGGGTTCATCTTCTTCCGAAAGAAGATATTATTTCTCTGATTTTTTCGACATATAAAGCCACTTTTCATTAATGTGGATACAGTTAAACATATTACAGAAAATTGGCCGATTATGAAGACTACATGGCTCAAGCATTGACAAAGAAAACACAAGCCTTACCTTTTTATTCTGTTCAGATAAATACGGCTTCAAGACATTCGAATTCGGTCTAATAAAACCCTCTTTGATTCTTTTATGGAGTGTTGATTTGGCAACCTGCATAGCAAACAATATAGGTCGAATGTTTCTTCGTTGCCGAAGAGGAATTTCTGATACTTTACTGAAGTTAATTTGTATCAGCTTGCTACTAACTCTCTTTGGCCTTTTATTGGTTACATCTACTACAAACCCATTTGAAAATTCTGACTTTGCCTGCTTCCAAATACGTCGAATGGTTCTTACAGAAACAGAAAAATACTTGCTGTCGCACTTATTGAGCCCCTTTTCAATTTTCCATTTTCACTTCCCTTGAGAAGAACAATAATAATTATTTGACGTTCTTCGTTAGTTAATTCCTTTTTAATTTTACACTGAATAGAGTCTGAATTTGGTAAGGTTTCCATTTTAAATTGGAAAGCTAGGTTGTTTAGAGAGTAAAGAAAGAGAATGGAAAAATGATAACCACGAGGGAAAGAGATAACAGAAGATAAGCATATGGATAATTATAGATAAGCATTGGGAAAGAGTAGCAGGGTATGGATTAGGAGTTCTTCGTTTAAGAGTAATGGGTCAGTTGAATTGAGTTACTTAAAAAATCCTCTTTATTTTGAATTTTTATACAACCGCATTTTTTTTTGAATTTAGTTAAAAATATTTACACAAGTGGCGCCAACATTTAAGAAGTTCCCTGTTAATGAAATTTTTTGTTTTGTTTGAAGTGGTCAAACCTTAGTCAATCCACTAATTGAAGACAAAATTTTAAAGGGTAAATTTGGAATTTCATTTCTTATCACAATAATAAAATGCATTCAAAATTAAAAAGTTATGTTCTCAAAAAGTGACATCCTTTTTGGGATAGAGGGAGTATTTATTTGGTTTAGGAAATATGTTATTTTTATTTTTTATGTATAAGAATTCTAATATAATGAAATTATGTTTTATGAATAAAAGTTAAGATTTTTAGTGGTTAATCCCTAATTCAAAGGATTATCGGTGATCGATCTCAAATCAAAATATCAATTTAGGTTTTAAAACCACTAACATATACACAATTTTGGATTAATTTTGCTCATTCTATTATGAATGCATATGAGTAATTCACATTTTCTTTTTCTTTTTTTCGGTAATTTTTTTTTTTTTTTTTTTGGGTATATTACATTTTCTTTTTCTTTCTCGTTGCAATGTAAAATTTTCATTTGTTAAGCTACATTCCTATAATAGCCTCTGACATCTATGCCATCGTGGTTCGTCGTGATGCATTCCACGATGATGAATGATGCCCATTTTTACTAAGCCTTTTCCTCTTTATTTAGATCTTCTTAGCCAAGCTATATCTAAGACAATAATTTTAGACACCTTGTTAAACCAATTTATGCTTGCAAGAACTCAACCTTAATTCTACTTGATTGATGCCAATTGTCAATTTATCTTTTTGGATTTGATTTTGGCTTTGCTTTTTAAGCTTTCTATTTTACTTTGGTTTCAAGAAATTTGTTGTTTGTGATATGAAAATGTAAATGTATTATATTAACAATTGATAAATGCACCCAATTTAAAATATAGAAAAATAGATAATAGGTTCACACCATAATTAATGTTCATTAGAAGGGGTAAAATGGTAATGCAAAAAATAAATTTTGTCAAAATAATCCATAAATGTGTGAAAGGAGGGCATTCTGCAGCTTTTGAGAGCAAAGGGGAATTATTTGGTGACAAAAATAATACAAGGGGTATTTTGTCACTTTTTGAGAGCACAAGTGGATTTAGTGCATTTAGCAAAAAATCATATTATTAATTAATAAATGCACACACATAAAAAAAATTCTTGAGGGTAAAAATCTTAGAGGGGTTCAAAAAACAATTGGTCAAGTAAGGGTAGTTGCACACGACTTGAATTTCATCACGGAAATGTTAATTTGATGGTTTAAGTACAAAATGTGAAGGTTTGAGAAACTATGGGCAATGTGGGCCCAAAAACCTAAATGTTCAGTTTCTTAACGTTTGGCCAATCAGATGAGCTTGTTAGACATTGATTTATACAATTGGATGATTATGACTCAAACTGGTATTTGAACCTTTTGAATGGGTTCAATAAGGGATTAAGACATTCCAATGTTGTCTGGAATCGAAAATTGGATTCTAAAAACTCTAAAAGAACCTTAATTTGCAATGGATTTCATAATTTAAGAGTGAAAATGATATGGAATGCTAATAAACTATTAAATTGTATTTTTGGGATAGATTTTGAATCATTTGTTAACCAAAATCATAATAATTTACTGGAAACTCGATCAGGAATCGATTTGAGAGTAATTTTCATGATCATATGGTGAAATTGATTTGAAATATGTTGAAGTGATAGATTGAATTAATTGTTATTTCGTCATAATGCCAAAATTATGTTTCACATGTAATTAGGCATTGCAAGGCTTTCATAAAATATTTGTATACCTAATTAAGCCACTATTATGACAAATTGTACTTACCATCATGTTAAGTATTGTTTAGTTTATCCATGATATATCAAAAGGTTAAAAACATTGTTATTCAAAATGCACAAAAAGAAAAATACTTTTAGCAATTTCGAAAGTCATATTGTTATGCTGCTAAAACTAAGTTGTAAACCAAGGTATTTCTAAAAACCAAAAAAAAAGAAAAAAAAATCTAAGTTTCTAAAAATAAAAAAACTCCAAAATAAAATCCACAAATTGTCAAAATCATGAAAAACCTAACATTAGTAAATTTTAAGGGGTAGGTTCATTAAAACCTACACAAAAGACAAAAAAAAATAAATTTAAAGTAGGTAAGTATAATTTATTTAAATTTAAAATTATTTGAAAAAATAAATTTTTTTTTTCAGGTAAATTAAGAAGAGGGAGAATCCGAACATGGACAAATGGGAGCTGGACACACTGCCTCAGTTGATTACTTGGGACCCATTAATATTTCATTTTTGTTTTTTCTTTTTAATTACTTTGATTTTGTAATAAAATAGTCATTTTTAATTAATTTATTTATTATTATCCCTGTAGATACCCCCAACTTGTAAAGAAAACGTCCAAGAAGAGCTTGACTTATTTATCTAGTAAAGATTTGATTTTATGCCACTTCTACCCTCTCGTCAGAGTTCCATTAGAAAGTTTGAATGAGTCTATAGAGAAATATAAGTCAACTATTTATTTCCTTCCCAATTTTACTATTTGGTAATAATAATTTCAAAGATTTATTATAATGTTTGCTTCATTTTCCTTCCTTGAGCAGGGGTAGAAGCCAAATGGACAGTGATGTTAACAAAGAGATAAAAAAAAGAGAAGATAAAAAAGCACATTAAGCATATATTTTAATTGGTGTAAAATTACCTCTCCTAATCCCTCTTCTCATCGAACACAAAAGTTTGGTGTCTCTCTCTCTCTCTAAAACTCCAAGAAGTAAACAGAGGTACATCCCCAACCTCACCCCCCCTTTCTACCTGTGGTTAGGTGTGTCAGAAAGAGAGAGACTGTATACATATACATAGATATATACATACACATATTTATATCACCGCCGATCGTCACCATTACCGGTCTTTCCTACTTTCTCCGATTGATTCAAACTCAAATCGCGCATTTTCTCTCTCCAGAATCCATTCGTTCCTCATTTCTTCATTGGAAGTAAGTCTATCTCTACTCTCTCTCTATATATACGTACTTATATATATATAGATACAAGCATATATATACATATGCATGCGAATTGTGTTGTTAAATTAATAAGCTGATGGGGCATAAGAAGCGAAACGTGACTCCTCGCTCGAAACCACCATCGGCGGCGGCTCCTCCTTCGCCGGTGGTTTCCGGCGGCGGGGATGGCTCCAATGGTGGTGCGAGTTCAGTCGAGACGGAGCAAAACCTAGACTCGAATTCGTCAATTGAACAAGTGCCGCAGAGTAAGATCGAAGTGTCAGTGGTCGAATCGGACGGTTCGTCTTACTCTGCAATCAAGCTGGAATGCGAGCGAGCCCTAACTTCGCTCCGGCGGGGGAACCACACAAAAGCCCTAAGGCTGATGAAGGAGATGTGTCTGCGACACGAGAACTCGGCTCACTCGGCTTTGATTCACCGAGTTCAGGGGACTGTGTGTGTAAAAGTTGCTTCAATCATCGATGATCCAAATGCCAAACAGCGGCATTTGAAGAACGCGATTGAGTCTGCGAAGAAAGCAGTCATGTTGTCGCCGAACTCTATCGAATTTTCGCATTTTTACGCGAATATGTTGTACGAGGCAGCGAATGATGGGAAGGAATACGAGGAGGTGGTGCAAGAGTGCGAACGGGCATTGGCAATTGAAAATCCTGTTGATCCGGCAAAGGAAAGCTTGCAGGATGAGAGCCAGCAGAAGATATTGACGGCCGATGCTCGGATTGGACATGTGCAGAATGAACTTAGGTCACTGATTCAGAAATCGAATATTGCTTCTATTTCAACTTGGATGAAGAATCTTGGGAATGGGGAGGAGAAGTTTAGGTTGATTCCAATAAGGAGGGTTACAGAGGACCCAATGGAGGTCAGATTGGTGCAAACAAGGCGGCCAAATGAGATCAAGAAGGCAACCAAGACGCCTGAAGAACGAAGGAAGGAGATTGAAGTTCGGGTGGCCGCTGCAAGGCTGTTGCAGCAGAAGTCAGAGTCGCCACAATCACAAAATGATGACAATAAGGCTTTAGATTCATTGTCCGGGCCTTCTCAAAGAATCGGTGAGCGAAGGAAGTCGGGAATGAGGAAAAATGCATCTTCGGCTGAGAGAAGGGATTGGGTTCGGTCATATTGGAATTCCATGAGTTTGGACATGAAGAAAGAATTGCTTGAAATTAAGCTTGCAGAACTTAAGGCCCACTTCGGTTTGTCGAAGGATGGTTTGGCGAATGAAGTCCTATCAGAGGCTGTATTGTTTGCTGAAGCTAATAAAACATGGAAGTTCTGGATGTGCTGCCGCTGCAATGAGAAATCTGCTGACTCCGAATCCCACATGCACCATGTTGTCCAGGAGCACATGGGGAACCTCTTGCCAAAATTGCAGTCTGTTTTGCCTCAAAGTATTGACAATGATTGGACTGAGATGCTTCTCAACTGTTCATGGAAACCATTGGATGTCACTGCTGCAGTTGAAATGCTTGAGAACCAATCAAATGTACAAGCTTCCGAGGTTGTTGATGAGTCATACCTGAGGAATGATACAGAGGCATGTAGGGTCTTCGATGCCAGTTATTGCTCTGAAGATGCATGGGATTCATCCCCTCGGAATGGGAAATTCAGGGATAGTTGCAACGTTAACACTGTGGAGAGCATAGATTATAATAAAAATTCTGACACTGAGTGGAGAGAATATGACGGCAGTCAGGGTTGCAAGGCATATTCCCTTTCCGATAATTGGCCATTGTCAGAGGACATTGAGCGTGCAAAGCTCCTTGAAAAAATCCATTCCCTATTCCAGGTTCTTATTAGACATAAGTACCTTGCTGCAAGTCATCTTAGCAAGATACTACATTTTGCAGTGGATGAGCTACAGGGTCTTGCCTCTGGTTCTCAGCTTTTCAACTATGGTTTGGACCAAACACCGGTATGCATATGCTTTTTGGGAGCTCCTGAACTCAAGAAAGTCTCCAAATTCTTGCAGGATATATATAATTCTGGTAGATATTCTGACAAAAGTGGTGTTGTTGATGATTCAAATAGTGGCACTATAGGTGCTGAAGTCACAGAGAAGATAATTCTTAGCGATGATGCATCGGTTCTCCTGTTGGATGAGCATTTCTTGTCAAGCAAACTCACTCCCACCATATGCCATGGCACTGTCACAGATGATGCAGCTGCAGCAACTTCAGCTTATGTTGGCTGTGAAAATGGGGTTATGCTTGACACCGATGCTTTATTGTCCTGGATATTTACAGGTCCCACAAGTGGGGAACAATTGGCAATGTGGACACGAGCTAGGGAAGAGAAAGCACATCAAGGGATGGAAATTCTACAAACGCTTGAGAAGGAATTTTACCACCTAAAGAGCATGTGTGAGAGAAAATGTGAGCTATTGGGCTATGAGGAAGCATTGCAGGCAGTGGAGGATCTCTGTCTTGAAGAAGGGAAGAAAAGGGATCATAACACAGAATTTGTCCGACGAAGTTATGAGTCTGTTTTACGGAAGCGGCGAGAAGAGCTCATCGAAAGTGACAATGATGTTATGTTTATTAGTAATAGGTTTGAGTTGGATGCAATATCAAATGTCCTAAAAGAAGCAGAAAATCTGAATGTAAATCAGTTTGAATTTGAGGAAAGTTACAGTGGTGTGGCTTCTCATCTATGTGACTTAGAATCTGGTGAAGATGATTGGAGAACTAAGGACTATTTGCATCAACTGGACTCTTGCATAGAAGTTGCAATCCGAAGACTGAAAGAACAGTGGTCTATAGAGGTTAGATCGTCTTTTCTATATGATCTTTTTACACAAAATCATGTTGCATCCTTTCCACTTCATCTCACTTGTTCAGTCATGCAGCTCAGCAAAATTGATGCAAAAATCATGCGAAATGTTACTGGGATGCAGCAGTTGGAATCAAGGCTAGAGCTTGTATCTGCCAATGATTATCGGTCAATTGTAGTGCCTCTAGTGAAGTCATTTATGCGGGTTTGATTTTGAACTTTTTGCCCTTTCTACAACGTTCTGAACTGATTGTGGAATTTTTTTTTCTTTCCATTTTTTGACAACCGTTTGTGGTCTTAAATTATCTTTTATTGGTTTTTATTTAATTTTTCAGGCACACTTGGAGGATCTGGCCGAGAAAGATGCCACAGAGAAATCTGATGCTGCAAGAGAAGCATTTTTGGCTGAACTTGCACTTGATTCTAAAAAGGGTGTTGGCGGAGGGAGTGATAGTTCGAGAAATATACAGGAAAAGACAAAGGATAAGAAAAAGAACAAAGAGTACAGAAAAATTAAGGATTCAAAGGTTTGAATTGTGTAGTTGAATACTTTTGTTTTGTTTTTTTTTTTTTTGGTTTCTGTTTTGCTTGGTTGCTGTTACGAAATGAAATATCAGGGACTAATAATTTCTTATAGTTGCAGGCTTCTAGTAATAATGAGCAACATATGCTTCAGCCGGAGACTGCTGAACGGATGTATGTCTCTTTCTCCCACAATGCACATCACATGCACTTTTCCAAGACTTTACTTCCACTATGAATGCATGCGCTCTATGTAGTCCATTTTAGTGTGTGTGTGTTTTTTTTTTTAAATGTTTGTCTTGCTGCAGCTCCTGCCCTTTTCCATATGATGCTGATAATCCCGAGTCCGAAATTGTTGAGAATGGTGATGCTCTACAACAGGAAGAGGAATTTAGACGTAGAATTGAGCTTGAAGCTGAAGAAAGAAAGCTTGAAGAAACTCTAGAGTATCAACGTCGAATAGAAAATGAGGCTAAACAGAAGCACCTAGCTGAGCAACATAAGAGAACTATAACAACAGTTTCTGAAAAGAAGGCAGTTGAACTGCCTGATTATTGCTTAAAGAATAGTGATGATGATCAAGATGTACAAGGGCAATTGAAACATTTTAAGCAGGTAGCATTCCTTGTACTGAGGTTCTCTTTTTTTGCTGGAATGATCTAAAGCTTAGGTGCTGTTCTCAAGTTATATTTCTAGGATAATTAGAATTTTGAATTTAGTATCCTGTTGGCTATCCTGAGAAGAGTGTCATGTTGCTTAAATTTCAAGAAAATATCTTTTGGATATTTAAGGAGACTTACAAACTTGCACTTTTCTAGGAATCTCTGATGCAGAAAAATGGATTCCCGGACATTTTAGATGGTGTGCCTGTGAACACTGCAGATAAAGCTGCACAAAGGACTTGTAGTACTAACAGTCACCATCACACAAAAGTTGCACAAGGTTAGCAGTTATGCCACACGGCTCAAATTTGGATGGTTTATTTCGATTTTTGGAAGCAGTTTCCATAATTTTTTCCCTCGTCCAGGCTTACCTAATGGAGGAATTTCAGAGGATGTTGTTTTGCCTTCTGATCGACGGACAGGAAGGAAAGGTAAACGTCAGAAGAGTTCCACCAAATTGCTCGATGGGAAGTATCAGACAATTGCTTCATCAGAAAAGGAAAATATTGAAGTTGGACAAGTTAGACTTAAGGACAGTCTTCATGGTGATGGCAGTAAGTTCCATAAGATTCCTGCTTTAGATTCATGTTCGCATTATTATTAAAACTGGGTTTGTAATTGGTGTATATTAGTGCTTTAAGTTTTTTTGCAGTTGCAATTGTTGAAACGGGTCTATGTAGTCTTTCAGAATATAACAGTACAATTAAAGTTCTAATAATCTGAGAAGTTTGCATTAGGTTTTAAATCAGAATGGGATAAACAGCAAATCATGCCAAAATCTAACATTAGCAGCATGCCCCACTGCATAAAAAGAGAATTCTCTGCGGCCTTTCATTATACTCTTCCATAAGTGCACTCCATGAGACATCCCAACCTGTCAAACCCCAAGCATCCTGTGAACTTTCATACTTCTTCTCCGCAGCCTCCACCAACCTTCTCAATGAAGCTGCTTTTCATGAGCAGTCCTCCATAATTACTTCCCTAGAGAAGCTTTGATTAAACACCCTTAGCTTCTTATTGGCCAAACAATAAACAAACTTAATTCCATCTCGCAAAGCAGTATTTAAACTACTTCCCTGTAGTAACGAGAGACGTGAATTGCATGGGCGACTTCACAAATTACTCATGTTAAGAATATAATGGGTAACAACAGTGCTATCATTCATATAAACATTAATCTTATTCAATATTTACCCTTTAACTTAACTTTCAATACCTATATTCCAGATAAGTATAGTTTCTCTTTATGCTATTACTATTCCTTAATATTTTATATTTATTTGATACCAAATTAATAACTTTTCCTACAGTACCTAATTGCATCCCAGACAATTTTTTCTTTGCCATTTTGTTAACGGCTATTTATGTGCTATTTATGTCCTACATCAATGTTTATTCCATCTTTACCTTTTACTTGTGCCATTACACTTTTCTCCTCACTTTTAACTCAAAAGATCTTTGATAACTGTTGTAACATAACATTTGTTCTTGAACTTTATTCTTAATACTTATTAGATTTGTAATTACAATTATGTTGTAACCACTAATTCTTTCTTACCCTTAATGTCATGATAATAATGATATTGCCATTGCTTTCTCTCAACAGTAATATTAATTGCTAATAACAACAATGCGATTAGTTTTACGTGCACATATAAATTTATTTCCAAGTTTACCCTTAATTTTCATTAGAAAATAATGATTATGTTGTTGGCTATCTGTTCTGTTTTCCTTATTTTTTGACGAGAATATTTTGTTTATATTCTTACTCTTAATATGATAATATCAATTGATAATATAATGATATTGTCATGACATTGCCAACATATATCTGTTTATTATATGATTGCCCTTAATAGCAATCTAACACATCATTGCCTATAGAAATTGCTTCCATTTGTGTTCTTACTACAGATTGATTATAAGAAATATTCCATTTTTCAATACTGATGCAATGTTAATGCCAACTTTTGGAAAAAGTGGAAACAAATTAAATTAATGTTCTTCATATTTTGGAACATTATTTTCTCATTATTGTGCTGTTAGCCTGTTAACAAAAAAATACTACGTGATCACTTCTCATTAAATATATGTGTTAATATTTTTTAGTTTTAGCAAGTTATTTTGTTTGTTACTGATTCCCTGCATTTTTTTTTTGATAAGTAAAGATTGTATAAAGAAGCGTTCAAAAGGGGAACGCATCCCTCAGAAAATACACAAGGCCTAATAGGGCCTCTAAACTCTCAGAGTCTCCAAAAAATCAACTATCTCCTCCATGGATTTACAATATCTCCCTATAACCCAACAAAAAAGAGTGCTAATAACAGAGAATTTCAACTCAGGAATCTCCTTTCGTTCGAAACCTCCTATTTCTTTCAAGCCATAAACACCACCAAATGCAAAGAGGCGTAACCCTCCAAAAATCACAGACTTGGGCCCCCACCATACAACCTCGCCAAGCCTCAATCAAATTTCTGGGGGATCTGGGCATAACCCACTGAACCCCAAACAATAGATGCCTTTTACTTGTATCAATAGATGTAAGACATCTGACTTGCATCTAAACTCCTGGGGCTAATACTAGAGCTGAAGCTCCAAGTTGATGGATTTAGTTTACTGTTCGTTCCTGTCACTGTTAGATGAGCTATTGGGTTCCTTACAGTTCTAGATGACCGTTTAGTTTTCAAAATGCCCCAATTGGATAATGGGTGTTTGGTGAATTGTTTAGACTGGTGTCTTTATTCCGGAGTAATCCTGTTTAGAGGTAGGGGATCTGCTTCCTCTATTACATTCTTGGGGAGCCAACTATTCTCATTTTTTCCCTTTCTGTTTTTCCTTTTTTTTGTTTTATTTTGTTATATATATATATATGTATATATATATATTTATTTATTTATTTATTTTTTTGTGTTTTTTGTTTACATACGTATGGTAAGTGCAACACAAAGCATGTGAATAAGAAAGAGACAATTTAGGAATTTCGCGTGGATCACACCTTGGACCTTCTTTTAGCTAAAATTGGGCTGAATTGGTTCTGTTTTAGTTTTAGGTATGCTTGCTGCTGGCATGGTTTATTAATATTTTACGAGTTTTCTTGGAGATACTTTTTCAATTTCTAGATTTGCATGAAATGAGATAAATAGTAGTTGTCTATGGGTTTTATTTTGGCCTTGTTTTGGGTTTTTAATTTATAGGACCAGAATGTTCTAACCATTCAAAGTTTGCAATTTCCTGTTTTGGAGTTCTACTCAGTAAATGTTCAAACCCAGTTACCCAGCAGCCTATTAACATAATCTTTCTATTCATTGGATTTGGGTTTTAGAGAATTCAAGATTCTTTGATGTCTGATGCAACCTTATTTAGGGGGTAATTCCTAAGAAATTCTAAATGGAAGTCCAAGATGGTTCTTCTCCTTACTTTAATTACTGTTATGTCACTGTCCATAGTCACAGAACAGCTGTTATATTATCTCCCAAATCCCATTTCCTTAATCAACGCTAACTCTTTCCACTGCATCTGAACCTTAACACCATAAGCCCTTAATTAATTGCTATTCAGAATTTCCGGCAAGATTTCTGTTTTCAGTTCCAGCAACCAATCAGTTATGAAACCAAGCCAGTCATGATCAATTCGTTTTCCCAGATCCTTTCTTCCACCTCGTAAATATGACTCTACAAGCTTTTCCATAGCCTTACCATTCATTAAATCCATTAGAGGCAGCAAATTTCTAAGTTTCTTAAAGCTGCATTGTATCATAACTTCAACACTATATTAGCAATTTGTTCAGCTCTCTGCTGTTTCGCATGTGCAGCCTTTAATCTAAATCCTTCTTGCAGACAAGATGTTATTGAGAAATTCTTTTTTGATAAGTAAGATATTATTGAGAAATTGAACATAATTGTCACCGAATTTTAGGTTGTTTATTTTTAAGGTATTCTTTTTCTCCTTAAGGATTCTCTGCTGGCTTTATTTTATTGTTCTTAGCAAATGATTATGGGTCTCTTGATTGCTCTAGTGAAGTTCTTTTTATGATTGTTGTAAACAAATTGCAGAATGAATTATGTTTTTGTTCATCCTTTTATATTTGGATTGGTGTTCCAACACTCATAATAATCATGTAAGTTTGCTTGAGTTATTCCTATGGCTTAGACAAACCTTTTTGTTAAAAAAATTCAGTGGGTGAACTTTTTTTCAGATCAGTTCCTATTTTTCCAATATATGGCTTTCGGATCTCCATGCAGGCTTTAGGGTTCCTTGATGCATTTTTCCTCTTTGGACTTCAGTTTGATTTTTTGTTAAATCCCTATAGGTTATGGCTGTGATTGAATCTTATATATTTACATGTATATTGCTTTTGGACATAAATAGATGAATCTGCAGTGGGGCAAAGAAGCCTGCTTTTGTAGGTTGAGACATTGTAGCTTCAAATTTGAATGAAAAAAATATCTTGCTAGACAGTTTTTTGACAGTGGTCTGATTTCTTCTCATCCGCTCTAAATTAGTTTTCCCTTGTCAAGTTGATCTTATTCCCAGCAACGACAAGCAGCTGGGTAATTTGCGGAAAATATTGCATCCTTATTTTGACTATGAAGGGGCGCAATCACCTTTTATGGTTATTTCTCTTATGTTGTGTTTAGTATCTTAAAAAAACACCAGGCTCCAGGCCTAGGGAAATGAGGAGGGTTGTGGTAGGTAATGATTAACGGATCATTATGAACATGAGTACTGAAAATATTCAAGGAGTTAACAGAAAATTTGACTCTAAATGAGTTGAGTGGGAGAAAAAAACGATTCATGTGGCAACCTAAGTAGTTGAGATTAAGGCTTTGTTGTGCTTGAGTTGGGACCTGTTTGAAGATATAATCTGTATCACACATATTAGTGATCTCTCAGACTGGTCTCATATATGTCAAGCCTGTCTTCTTCTAGATACATGCTAAAAGTTTTTTTTTTTGGGTTATTTTTACTCCGCATTATAAAACCAATATAATCATGGTTTACTCTGTATTAAATTTTGTTTATTGCCACACAAATTGGATCAGTTGATGATATAATCTGAATCAGAAGCTATCTGGGTTAGAACTTTGTCCTGATTCATTATATCATCAAGAGTTGATCATTACTGGTATCTACTGTCTGAAATGAATGCGATATAGTTTAGCATTTTTAGTAACTGTTACCACTTCATTTTAAGCTTTTAGAGAAGATGTATCTTAATTGCTTCTTTTTGTGGGGTAAGGAACTAATATGATCAAGGTTTACATTTTTTTTTTTTTTTTGGAGAATCAGAGAACCCACATTTCGGAGATGGTGGAACAAAGACACTGAGACAATTACACGTAGAGGAGGATGATGAGGAAAGGTTCCAAGCTGACCTTAAAAAAGCCGTGCGCCAAAGCCTTGGTAAATATCTTTACACCCGTTAATGCATTCTTCAATTTTTTTTAACGACTTCTTTAGGATTTTCTTTAGTTTGTCTATTTCAAATATCTGTAAGACAGCAGTAGCTCTAAAGTAATTATTTTATTTGGATGTCCTTTTATTCTTAATGCTTCAATAAATTAAATTTTTTTTTTCTTTTTCAAATGTTTCTGTATTTTGGGTGTATCTGTTTAAGCAATAAAGTAATACTCTCTCTGTCCCATATTAGTTGTCCAATTTCTTTCTATGGATGTCCCATTCGAATAGTCAAAGCAAAATATATCTATCTTTCCATAATTACCCTTTAAGATTTCAAAAATCTTACAATTTGATAATATACATATTTAAAAATAAAAGGACAGCTTAGTAATTTTAAAGGGGGACAAAGCATTAATTGTATGTCCCCTGAAAACTTATGATACCAAAGATGTACATCTAATATGGGATGGAGGGAGTACTCTGTATTGCTTATCTGTTTTTGGTGTTCTCATGCCCTTTACACGATTTGATTTACACAATTTTGATATTACATATCATGTGCATACATATATATATATATATATATATATTTGAGAGAGATATATTTTTCCTTACTATATAGATATCTACTAGAAAAGGCAATATAAAGGGGATGCAAATAACACATGAAGTATTTAAGAGATAACCACCTCTAAACATACCTATGAAGAAATAACTCCCCTCGTAAGTCGACAAGGAGACAACCTCAAATAAGCTGATAAAACCCGGTGATCACAAGTTGCAAGGCTTCCGTCGACTTTCACTAAGGAACTTCTCTCCCTTGGATGCCCGTTATTCCTCTCCTTCGATATGCACCAAATTAAACACGATGGAGCAACAACCAAAGCCCTTCCTCCTCCTGATGCAACTGCTGCTCTGATGATCTAGCAAATCGACAACGGTCCTCTTAGTTACCCATGCGATCCTAGTGCAGAGGGACCCTCCGCATCTACACTAACGCCACAATATGAGAGGCCAAAAGGAAATAGCTAAAGCTCTCAGCGCTTTTTTTTTTTTTTGACGAATGTAGTATCAATCCGACATGATTTTGACATTTCCTGTAAGATGTCTAGAATTTTAAAAATCTTGATGGTAAATTCTAGGTGAAATTGTCTTCCCTTTGACCTCTGGAAAGCATTGCTTGATGAATATGTTGCATGATTGGAATATTTTGAGATACTTTGTTGTTGCCAACAATGGAAACTGAAACCAAGCACATAGAACTCTGACCTAATGTTTATCACTTGATTGTGAAATAGTAGTTTATAAGTCATTCAAAAAGGGGATCACATCCCAAAAAACTACACATGGACCAAATAGGGCCTCTAACCACTCAACATGTCCACAAAATCCATTGACTCACCCTATTGATTCACAATTTCTCCCACCGAAGCCAAAAAAACTAAGTGCCAAGGATAGAGAACTGAAGCACCCCAATATGAGTTTCCTCTCCCTCGAAGGATATCCTATTTCTTTCTCTCCACGAGGACCACCATAAGCACAAGGGCACAACTCTCCAAGCATCACGAGCCTGAGCTTCAATTGAGCAGCCTCTTCAAGCATTGGACTCCTCGCAAAAAGAGGCATAATTCAATGGACCCTGAATAAACCTAGGAGCATAGCCCAACTGTCTCGAGTCACCGAGCAATGAAGGAGATTATCCACCGACTCCTTATCCCTCTTGCACATATAACACTTATTCACAAGAATCTGCCCCCTCCTCCTCAGGTTGTTCATCGTAAGGATCTGACCTAAAGCGACCATCTAAGCAAAAAAAGCCACCTTCAAGAGGGCCTTCATGCGCCACACAGCCTTCCATGGAAAGAAAGGAACTTAAGCACTCACCGGTCTCTCTGTAGGAGCGCACCCCGAACTGAAACTCCCCTGAAAAGAGGCCACCCATACCCACACATCCGTCCCCATGCCCTCCACCTTCTGACGATAAAGCACCGCCAGAAGATAAAAACTGTCTAATTCATCAATTGTTTCACGAAAGAGGACTCAAATATGATTTACTAGTCTTTTCAGGGGATTTAATTAGATTTTCCTACTTCCTGAAACATTGTTGCAAGACAATAAGGTAGAAGCTTGGGCTGTTAGGCATGGGAATCTGTGTTTGAGCATTAGGATAGCTAGTATGGCAGTAAAGCCGAAGGCTCGGGTTTTGTACCCAGTTACCCCTCCAGCATTTCAAAACGTTGGGGCCTACAGTTATTTATGGCCTCTTCGCCTTTGTTCTTAGAGTTCTGGAGCTAGGACAATCAAATATACATTGGTTAGTTGGGCATCTTTTGAAGAGATTTTGATTATGTAGTTTTTTCATAGAAGAAGTTTTCTGGCTCTCTTTCTTGTTTCCAGTAGCCTGCATTCTGGTTTGGGGCAGCTTACCACCCTACCATCTTGATTGTTTAAGTTTCTGTCTGCCTAAAAGAAAAAAGGGTAAATCTCAGAAATTGATGACCCTTGATTACTGGCGAATTTTTTATTTATGTGGCAAGATATTGGCCCATCCAGACTGGGACAAACACAAGCTAACTCATTAAAGCTGCATTTGAGAAAGAATGGCCATTCTTCCAAGCTGGTTTGGGTGGCATCTTGCGATACCTTTGATTGCTTTCTTAATGGTATTTTTATTTGGCTAAAGATAAGGAAAGAAATGATAAACAATGGCAATGACTCATGATTGGTGGACAAACCTTGTGTTCTATACAATTTGAACAGTACCCAAGCCAGATTGAATCAAACACAATGTTCATCTTAAAAGCTGGATGTGAAAAACTTGGTCAACTGTGTCATCAGTTTAACAGGTTCAACTAAGCACACTATCAATTACATGACAAGGAAATATGCTGGTTTATTTAGTTCATGTTGACTTTGTTGCATGGCGTAATTTGGAGGAAATAATAGTTCAAAGATAATATATATGTGTGTGTATATATATATGTATGCATATATATGTACCCACTAAACAGTTGGTACTCTCCATTGGCAGGTTCAACATTTGTTGATGGCCTTTTATATCTGCATGCATGTGTGTAAGCTTTCACCCTTAGAATTCAATTGTATATACTCGTACCAGTACAGTCAATCCTCTTATGATTGGTAAATAAACAATTTTGTCGTTATATCTTGACAAGAACTATCGACAACCTTAGAAGGAGACGTCACATTGCGGTCAACTGGTGCTACATGTGTAAGAAGTCAGGTGAATCCGTGAACCACCTTCTCCTTCATTGTTCGGTGGCAAGGGATGTTTGGTCTATGTTTTTGGTGGCTTTTGGTCTTCCATGGGTTTTTCCATTTTCCACGGTGGACATGTTAGAGACTTGGAAAGGGTGTATAGTGGAGAGCTGAGTTAGAGATGCTTGGAGGGCTACTCCCCTTTGTATTTGGTGGGGTCTGTGGCGTGAGAGGAATAGAAGATCCTTTGAGGGAAAGGAGTCTCCTATTTGGTCTCTTAAATACATTATTCTATCTTCCTTATTCTTTTGGGTGAATGGGCGGGTTTGTAACTCTATGGATTGTCTTTTGGATTTTGTGGACAGTCTAAAGTTATAGTGTCGTCCTGGATGGCTTTTGTTTCCTTGGGAGCGCTCCCTTTTTGAGCTCCTTTTATGAAATTGGTTGGTCTTATAAAAAAAAAACAAAAAAAAAAAAAAAAAATCTTGACAAGAACTTTGGCTAGGTTGAAACTTACTTGAAACATTTACGAACTTGAATTTCTAGAGTTGAATTCATTACAATACTTTTTCACTAAGAAGCACGGACACGGCGACACGGCAAATCCAAAAAAATTAGGACACGGACACGGACACGGCGACTAGTGTATATATATATATATTTTGAGTGTTACTATTTTTCATCAACCTCACAATGGAAAATATATACAAATCTTAACTCATAACTAATAAACTATAAAAGAACAATGTTCCATACTTACAGCAGTCAGCAAAGAAAGAACAGTTAGCAAAGAATGAATAAATTCCTATTTGATCACAGATTCACAAGTCACATGCAACAGCTGAAATTAAATCAAAGATGAAATCCTATTCATTTATAGGTCAATAAGTCACAGGCTCACACCAGCTGAAATTAAAGCAAGAATAAAGACAACAGAGAAGAAGAAGAAGAAGAAGAAGAAAGAAATTAGGAAAGAAATTAGTGTTTGTGAAAAAAGAAAAACACCACAGAAGAAGAAAGAAAGACGGGTTTGTGAAAAAAAAGAAGAGAAAAAGAGAAAAAGAAAAAGAAGAAGAAGAAGAAGAAAAAAAAAATCTGGGGTTTGTGAAAAATGAAAAAAAATAAAACAAAGGAGAAGAAAGAAACTGGGGTTAGTGAAAAAGGGGGGGAAAAAAAAAGGAGAGAGAGAAGAAAAAGAAAGAATCTGGGGTTTTGAAAAAGAAAAACGAAAGAAAAAAAAAAAAAAAAAAAAAATGGATGAAGAAGAAAGAAAGAATCTGGGTTTGTGAAAAAGGAAAATGAAAACAAAAAAAAAAAAAAATGAAGAAGAAAACAAAGAAACTAGGGTTTCTGAAGAAAAAGAAAGAAAAGAGGAAGGAGGAGGAAGAAAAGAGGAGGAAGAGGAGAGAGAGAGAGAGAGAGAGACTGACCTGGAGGCTGGAAGGAGTAGATTTGATCGACAGCAGGAAGTTGCAGAGCTTCGTCACTTTGAGAGAGCAACCCAGACGTCCTTTGAATCTCATCTTGTAATAGTGTACTGAGTAGCCTTAAATATCTAATTCTTTTGTTTAAAATTGCATATTAACCTTGACAGTTTAAAATTATTATGTTCTGACTACATAAGTAGATAAAAATTATTAAATAACTTCATATATTTATACTTTAACCCAACTTTCTTTCAAAAATTATCTTTTAGACCCCTAAAAATAAGACACGCGTGTCGGACACACACCCCTGGCGTGTCGGACGCGTGTCCGCGGAGTGTCCGTGCCGTGTCCGAAAATTTTAAAAAAATAAAAAATTCCAGACACGTTTTTTGGCATGTCCGACACGTGTCAGGGCGTGTCCGACGCGTGTCCGTGTCTGACACGTGTCGGACACGGATTCTTTGCCTATTTTGGAGTGTCCGTGCTTCCTAGCTTTTTCATTATGTGTCAAAGGGCATAACTGAGTGTATAAAATCAATTCAACTAAACAATGTTTTTTGCCAACTATCATGGTTAAGTAGCATGAATAATTTGGTCGCCATTCAGCTCTATCTAAGGCTGTTACCTCAGTCAGAACACGTGCTATTGCATCTTTCCTTACCATCTCGCTCCTATGCGTTTTAGTCTACTCCTCCTCAAGATTTACACTTAATGTGGAGCACATTACTATTCTTTATTGGTGTAGTTATTGTTCATGGTGATTTTAGTCAGGAGGTTTGGCTTATGCTGGTTGATTGGGCAGAAGCACAAGTGTATTTCATATTTCATATTTGTTGTGTACATGCTTACTATTTGTTTGATAAGTCTATACACGCTTAATATTAATTAACTGGTTTATCAAATGGCAATATGCCTCAACTGCAATCATCTTGTTATATAGTGTGTCCAGCCTGAAGTACAGTTCATGCCAATATGTTCAGTTTGGGTTCAACCCGACCCAAGCTGACTTTGTGCATTTACCAACAACTTGAGCAATGAATCACTTCCATTATTCCTTCAAGTCATAAAATGTACTCTGCCTTTATACTTATTTTGTTTCCCAGACACATTCAATGCACATCAGAAGTTGCCCTTGATCTCAAGTTCGTGGATGCAGCAAAAGATGTCGTCAGAAGTTGATCACTCGAGTATTTCATCTAATGAAGCCACACTTGAAAATTTGAAAGGAGCAGATGCATATGGCACGGGTCTGAAGAATGAAGTTGGTGAATACAATTGTTTCCTAAATGTTATCATACAGGTTTGTTTAAAAATGAGTAATTTTTTCATTTCGTAATTTATTTGAGCCCACTCCAGTTCTTATGTTTATTATTTTAATGCTTTCTTTGTAGCTGAATTTTGTACTTGTCATTTCAGTCCTTATGGCACTTAAGACGGTTTCGAGATGAATTCTTGAGGAGATCGACATCAGAGCATGTCCATGTAGGAGATCCTTGTGTTATCTGTGCACTATATGATATTTTTGCTGCCCTTAGCATGGCATCTACAGACACACGTAGAGAAGCTGTTGCTCCTACTTCTCTGAGAATTGCTTTAAGCAACCTGTACCCTAATAGTAATTTCTTCCAGGAGGTAAGTTCCCAAAAACAGTGTTGGATTCCACTGGCTTTGTTGTAAGTTTAAGTTGAATTTGTATTCTTATCATATGCTCTAAAACCACTTGTTAGTTACCGGATTTTATTAAAATGAAAAATTCTGATTAACATGGCATCAACTGACAGGCTCAGATGAATGATGCTTCTGAAGTATTGGGAGTAATATTTGATTGCCTTCATAAGTCGTTTACTTCTGGTTTGGGTGTTTCTGATACTAAATCAGTAGAAAGCAATTGCAAGGGCTCGTGGGATTGTGCAAACAATGCTTGTATAGCACATTCTCTTTTTGGAATGGATATTTTTGAACGGATGAATTGTTACGACTGTGGTGTGGAGTCCAGACATATGAAATACACTTCTTTCTTTCATAATATCAATGCCAGTGCTCTCCGGACAATGAAGGCATGTCTCGTCGGAAGAAAAAAAAATTATGGTTACTTAACGGTGTATTGATTATGAAGTTAAAGTATTCTGCTTTTGTTATGTTAGCTATTTCATTTTTATCTATTGACCTAGAATTCTTCTTTACTATTTAGGTTATGTGTGCAGAAAGCTCTTTCGATGAGCTTCTAAATCTTGTTGAGATGAATCACCAGCTAGCTTGTGATCCAGAGGCTGGTGGCTGTGGCAAGCTCAACCATATCCATCATATTCTTTCGACTACACCTCATGTTTTCACAGCAGGTGATTGAAGAGTTGTTGAGAGAATTGCACTCTGCTACTTAGTGGCACATTCTGAATGAATTTTTTAATAACACTTGGTTGTCATCTTGCAGTTCTGGGTTGGCAGAATACTTGTGAGAGCGCTGATGACATAGCAGCAACGTTGGCTGCCCTAGCTACTGAGATAGATATTGGTGTCCTTTATCGTGGTCTTGATCCGAAGAGCAGATATTGCTTAGTTTCTGTGGTATGTATATTTAATGACTATAAACATGTGGTTATAATCCATATTCTGGTATTAAAATCCTTAGGCGGTTGTAAGCGGTGGAGACTAAATATGGTTTGTTGTAGGAGTGAGTCATGACACAAAAGCATAAACCAAAAGAAATAGGTGTTAGAAAGAAGATTGATAACTGTCATAATAAAATAAAATCACATTTCCCATAATTTTTCAGTAGATGGCAACCGGTAAGATTTTATTTAGTATCTCCTCTGAAGTGATGGATTGACTGTTTTGGTACTTGCAGCATAAAATAAAACTGCAATGAACAAAGTTCACTACAGGAGAAATCGACCATGAAAAAGAACTCCAGATAGAGAAAAAGAAAGGAATTCTATTATAGATGAAAGACAAAAAGATTATTGTCAATGGCTATAGAAATTAACGACATTGAAGATATTGCAAAAGATACCAATGATACACTGTTAAAAATCACGGTCAGAGAACATCAAAGGAAGAACAGATTTGTCAAAGGCATCCACTAATTCGGAACTTAATTTGAAATCCATATTTCGATCTAGACGTTTTTGGAATGCCTCTGATAACCAACGAATGACAAGTGCTTTTCCTTGCGTAGATCCCATTTCAATGGAACTTGATTTATCGACCTACACTTGCTTTTAGTGCTATATCTAGAGTTACCCCATCCGTTGCTTAATGTAAACTCTCTTATTTGGTGATCATGTTACTTCTCAAAAATCATATTCTTGATCAATGGATGATGAATACATATTTTGATAAGTAAAATATATTCAAAAGACGCTCAAGCGGGGAACGCGCCCATATACAACCAAAGAAAGACAAATGACCTTTAAGCTCTCAAACTGTCCTCAAAATAAACTATATCCTCCATGGATTTACAAGAATACCCTAAAACCAATAAAAATAACATGGTCTAAATAAATGTTTATGACCCAAATAGGAACCTCCTCCTCTTCGAAGGATCTCCTATTTCTCTCCCTCCATAACCCCACCATAAACAAAAGGGCCTGGCTCTCCAAGTGTCTCGAGCGCTACCGCCTTTTATACACCGTTTCCAAGCCTCGAGCATGCTCCTCATAGAATCCGAAATCACCCAGAGCACCAAACATGAAAAAAAACATAGACCATACGTCTCTAGCCATTAGACAATGTAAGCGAAGATGGTCCACTGATTCTGCTTCTCTCTTGCATGTACAAGTCAGACGCCTCTTACGAAGGTTATCAATTGTCAAAATCTTGCCCAAAGCCTCAGTCCAACTAAAAAACGCCACCTTAAGGGTTTCTTTAGTGTGTCAGATAGCCTTCCAAGGGAATGGATTACCCCGAGTCTTCAAACTGGCCGGTAGAAAGACCTAACCTCGAAACTCCCATGACGTATGCCCTTCCTACTCCACTCAACAACCCCCCTTCTTTCCATCTGAATTTCCTAAGTTAGCCTCCCATTATCAAGGTGATAATAGTCGGCTACCAAAAACTGCTTGTTCACCGCAATACGATAAGTCTCGGGAAAGTGCATGCCAACAATCTATTACCATACCAAGCATCCTCCCAAAAGAGAATAGACCTCCCACTCCTTGAACCGAATATGCTTGGAAAATTCATTCAACCCCTTCCGAATGAGCTTCGAACGATGTTACATGGACTCGGGTTCGTGTGTCGGACACGGGTATGTATCCACGTGTCGGACGTGTAAAATCTCCAAACAGAAGGACACTCGGACACGGCTAAATATTCATTTTATTAATTATTTTATTTTATTTTCTAGAGTAGAGAGTAATGTTTTATTCTAATAAAATGTTCAATATAGGCATTAACTCATTTTAAAGTAATAATATAATATAATTGAATGATTGGATATGCTTTTTAAGTACATGTCCAGCCAAAAGTGACGGACATGTATTCCATACCCATGTTCGAGCAATAGGTGTCTGACACGGGTACTTCACTACTTTTGAAGAGTCCATGTAACATAGGCTTCCAAACCCCAACTCTAGCTGGATGATTCACCTCCTCTAAACACCACCCACTATCTTGCACTGAGTGACCTTCCATCAATGGAGGAAGAATACCACCTTTTTTGTTCAAAATATAGATTTGTCAAAGATATGACAACAATAAGACCATTCTGAGTGTGGTTCACTTTTGAGGTATGAGGCAATACCAAGGGGCTTAGATAGCTTGTTGCACGGCTATGGTGAGAAGCATTATCTTGCACAATAGTTCACGGCATTGCTTTTGCCGCATTTATAGTATGGTCTAGTTTTGCATCACAATCCTTTAGCCGTATGACACTGTGCATCATGACCACTACGATTATGGTATGATAAGGAACCATGCCATGGTAGTGCAGTTATGGTGTATCCCTAACCTTGGTGTGATTACGATCAAGTATTTGCACGTGTTATTATCATAGTTTTACAACTGTAATATATACATGCTCCAATTAAATATGAGATAATTCATTAACACTGCACTTTAATGCTCACCTCATAATTCAATTTTGCGTGCCTTATGGTTGTTGAGGTCTGAGATGGTTGTGTCCTAATCCTTGTCCACATTGTGATACTTGGGTTGTCATGGCTTATATATTAGGAGAGAGATAAGGCATAGTTTGAGCTATTTACGCTGTGTCCCCTGGTCCAGTTGGATGGGCATGGTGCACATAACACCTCTAATTGTGCCTCGACCAGAGTGTGCTGCTGGCTGTAATTTTAATTAAATGTCTTTTTCTTCGTTAGGTAATAATTTTAATTGATTGTCATTTGTATATTCTCCTATAAATAGCGTTAATTCTGCTAGGAAAAAACGTTAAAGAAAAGAACATATTTGAAAGGTTCCTCAAGGATTTAAGTAATTGCCTGAATATCCAGTCCCTCCAGGTTCTCCACCTTATTTTTATTCCAATCACGACCAGTCCATGGTTTTATTTGTCAGGTTATGGATCACCTTTAGTTGTTTCTGAACCCACACACGTATTTTGGCAAATCCACCTGTGGGAGGGTGGACTCATGACATGGTGAGAACTGATGAGGTCATTGACAACTTCACCACCACCGAATTGAAGCCAGTCAAACAGTTGATGCCATTACACGTAATGCCTTTGATCATGACATTATTTGAATTAAACAACTGCCTATCAACTAGCCTTCATCCTCTGGGAACCCTATTATCCGAGCACTGCTGGTCACTTATGAAACTTGATTTTTTTTTTTTGGGTAAAAAGTCTCCTCTCTAGACTCCAACAGTTCAGCGAACTCAGGAAACCAATGAAACCCACCTTGAAGCATACCAAAAAACCACTATAAAATAATACAAGATCAATTTGGCCTTGTGACATCTTTGCTGCCACAAACCTACGCTTGTTATCTTGAAAGACCTCACTTGTCGATTATATTCCTTTGCAGGCGCCAAGTTCAAATAACACACATAAATTTAACATCGCGACGACAATGTTATAGTGTTGCCTTTGGCGCCTTTTGTTTCTTTTGGGAGCGCTCCCCTTTTGAGCGCCTTTATTGAAATCTTACTTATCAATAAATAAATAAATAACATCCTGACAGCCGCGGTGTTGCTTCAGTCATGTCCGGAAACCACTAACATAGCTTTATGACGTTAAACCGATTTCATGCTCTTCAGTAAAGCAAAGTTTTCAGTCAAAACTAAGAGATTAAAAGGGTTCCAACAATGCCATTAGATGAATGTTTAAAAAATTTGGGGCCTGTTAATATTGTTTTCTATTATTGTTTCCATCATTGGTTTTCATTTTATGAGGAATGAAAATTTCAAAAAATGGTCACTGTCAGTTCATAGTCATTTTCCATTGGACTTATGTTTTTGAAATGCAAAAATTATTTTAAAACAGTTTTTTTTAAAGGGTTCATATTCACATAGCTTATAAAAATAGTGCTTATGTACTAGCACGACTAGAGAAACGTATGGAAGTGTAGTTTTGTAAACATATGGATGAATTAAAGAATACATGAGAGAAATTATTTATAGGAGCAAACTTTAATGGGCTCGGGAAAAAGATTGTTAATGGTGAACGAGGAGTTGGAGATAGGAATAGTTCTACAAAAGTAATGAACATTTGATAACCTTTAAAGTCAATTAAATATGACTTAGATTCCCCGGTTCCACTTCTGTATAAGGGACGCGTTCCCCTTTTGAACGCCTTTTTATGTTATTATTACTTATAAAAAAAAAAAAAAAAAGACTTATATTGATTTTTTTTTTCGGAAGGTAACTTAGATTGATTTTTTCTGACCAGACAGACTCACTTGCAAATATTTTAAGGTTATTATAGCCGAAAAGAAGAGGTTTTCATAATATTAAATGCATCAAGAGTTAGATTTAAGAATCTTAGTTAAAGATGATGAAATTAGAGAGAGATGGAAATTTTACTTCAAGAAAATTTTGAGTGAAAATCATATGGCAAGCATAGGTTTAGATAAATACGGTAATCTTAGGGAAATTAGTAGGGAAAAATTGTGGAATCAAGGTGTGCGAGGTGTAAAATACATTGGCTAAAATGAAATCAAGAAAAGTTTTAGGGCTTGATCTCATTTTTTTGATGTTTGGGATTTTTTAGTTGATGATGACATTTCTTGGATAACAAAATTGTTCAATAAGATGATATTAACTAAAAGAAAGGCTAATGTGTGGCGTAGAAGTAGTTTAGTACCCTTATATGGAAATGAAGGGGATATTAGAAGTTGTACAAATTATAAATTATCAAAAAAAAAAATTAGAAGTTGTACAAATTATAGTGGTATCTAATTAATGGGTGAAACTGTGAAACTTCAAGAAAGAACAATATTGTAGCATGAAACTACAATGCTGTAGTTTCATAGAAAGAACAATGATTGTTGCGTGAAATTACAATGCCGAACAATCAATTTTTATTTATTCCGAGGAGGTCAATAGTGGAAGCTATTTATCTAATGGGGAGATTAATTGAAAGATATAAAGAGAAGAAGAAAGATTCT